GATTCCTCCGTCGTCAACACCGTCTTCACCAACAACGCCGGAGCTCTGTAAATCCCTCCTCCCGCCGTGAAACAGAACTTCGCCGTAAACTCCAATTCCACCTTTTTTCCAATCAAACCAAAAACCCAAAATTCAAATAAATCGAAACAAAAGAAACGATTTTTACGATCGGGTCATTGAAAAGTTTGTACCTTTCCGGATTCTGGGTCGATCGTTCCTTCGAAAACCTCCGGCGATATATCGATTTTCAGAAACGGTGGCAATGGAAAGCCGAGGAATTTCGTGGTTTGGTTAGTGAGAGAAGGAATATAGAGAGTGCCCACATCGAAAGAAACAGACAATTCGGAGTTTGATGCTCTGTTTTCGTCGCCGTCGTCGGAGATTTCCCGGGCGGTTCCGGTGCCGGAGCCTCCACGAGGAGAGTATTCGAAATCGGGATATCTGGAGATGCCAAGCTTACCTGTACCAATAGTCTTGAAACTAACACTGTAGAGATTATTACTAGGAAGCTGTGTTGTGTTGGGTTTAGGGTTTATGGAATCTGATATTACAAATTTGATTTGGTTTTGGGATTTGTAGATTGTTGTTGTTAATGGGTTTATTTTTGTTGAAGCCATAACTGTCTCTCACTTTTAACAATTCGTTATGATGTTTGAGGGAAAAGAAAAAAAAATCAATTTCAATTAAGGAAGCATAAATCTTATCGTTACATTTTGTGGCTAGCCTTTGATGTTCATTCTTCACCTCGCAAATGTTATGGTAATGGTACATCGAATATGTAATCATGGGCCAAATTAAGAGACTTAAGGTCCATTTTCATATCATTCAGTTTTGGGCTCAATCAATGTACATAACCGGGAGTTTTGTTTCTGGTTTAAGTTCAATTCCGGTTCATGATGGTCTATATGATCACATTTATACCGGTTAACGAAACAGAAGTTTATATAGTCAGCCTTCCCTAATATAGTAGCACTAGGTGACTCTCTGCGTTATATGCGGTTAAATATTTGTTAAAAATTAAATAAATTTTAAAAATATTATCTTTTGGTTAAAATTACTAATGATGTTTAATTAATTTAGATTATAATTCTGTTTTTTTATAAAATAATATTTTTTTTTCCATTTGTTAGCACTAATTCTAATTTTAATAATATAAATTCATTTACAATTCTTTTTTTTTGTGTGTGTCAAACTTCATTTACTATTCAATTAACAAAAAAACAATTGAATTGGTTTTTAGATCCAATTTTATATCGTAATAACTAAGTAAATTTATTTTTTCTAAAACTTTTTTCTATTTCTATTGATGTTGTAGTGTCTATCTTGTACCAAACTATTATTACTTTGTGTTTAAATTTTTTTAGAACATGAAAATTTGACCCCAAAAAAAACACGACATATTATGTTTAATTGTGTTTAATAATCATTTGGTTAAACCCGTGTGAATTATTCTATTTGTGAATAACAATATCTAATATAAAAATATCTACTATTGATAATATTGTATGGTTTGATTTTGGTTTCTTTTATTCGAATAGATTTTAGATGAATATTATTTTTTGTTAGATGTAATATTGAATTTAGGCTGTTAGATTAAACATTTTTTTAATTTTACGTAAATTATAAAAATATTTATATTGATATTCTATCGTTTTCTTATATTTGTTTAAAGTATTATATAATATATTAGAATATCAATTAATTAAGGAGCAATTACAAAAATACCATTTTTTTGTGCACATTTACAAGAATACCACTTAGAGGTATTCATTAACAAAAATGCCACTAATTATAGATTTATAAAGCCTATTTCTTAAAATTCTAAACCCTAAAAAATGTTTTGACACCTAAAACCCCTTAAACACTCAAAACTAAACCCTAATAGAACATAATTAACCCAAACATAAATAATATAAAGAAAAAATAATTTTGAAAAAATGGTATTTTTGTAAAGATTTCAAAAGTGTGGCATTTTTTAAAATTTTTCATTAATTAATTGTATAAAATTCGATTTAAAAAAATAATAAAAATTAATTGTATAAAATCAAACAGACACAAAAAAATATTTAGAGAAGGTCGTGACATAAATTTGACCAAATGATAATAGTATTGCTAAAGAAGTACATGAATCATGATACAATGTGCATATAATTTTATAAAATATTATTTTTATATACAATTAAAATGCAGATATTTATCACAATATAAAAAGAAAAATTGATTTCTACCTTCACCGGAATGTCTTATGAATATTTAAAATTATTTAAATCCATAATATCATTAGCATAGAAGAAAAATATTTAAAAAAACCCGTATTTGTTGATAAGAGAAGAATGGAAAAAAGGTTCTAAATGTAAATTGAATGTAAATGAATTCAATATATAATGTAAGGTTTTAATATTTTCGTGTAGACATTTAATATTTTTGTGTATAGAATTAATAAGAATAATAATGGGCTAAGTAAATATGATTAGTAGCCTTAATTAGAGAATCCAATTGCTATGTCATATTTTATCAATGTTATGTCATAATAAAAATGAGAGAATGATTCTACAGAGGACATCTAAGCTAATCACTTTTCTATTAATATATAAGGGATAAGAGCTTTTATGGTTAAAGTTGATTTATGGAAATATGGTTGAGTTGTAATTTATAGGTTTGGTACTAAGACTAGCTATTGTTAGTTGGAGATTGGTTGTATGGATAATTTTTTATCAAAACGCTGAGTATCAATTTTATTAAACCGAAAATTGGTATGAAGAGATAACAAAAATAAAACACCAATAGGTGTCATATAAACGAAGAACAAAAATTTCATGTAAGGGACTTTGAAATATTCTAACACCTTAAGATGATAAGTACAATCATCACTAATATCATAACTTGATTATCATATGCACTAATGTCTGTTGGCGAATTTTGCCTCCATTAGAGCATGAAGCCACAAAGGTCCTTCATGAGCAACATATGACTGATAGCGGAACTTTTTGGTGCACCATTTGCCAGAGGAAGAGAAAAGACACAATCCTCCAAGCTTCTGATATATTTTTTTTTTTTAACGCTGGTAATTATTATTTCTTTTAAAAGATGGAGACACCACATCAAAGATCATAATACAAATTCTCCCTTGGGCCAACACAAAATAACCGAACCTACACCCGATAGGGGAGGAAACAAAGCCAAATGTGTTACCAACGAAGCTCATTAAACTCTTGATGATCAAAGAAATATGAAGCGGACACAAGAAGATCGAACATCGACTAGCAAATCCTCATATTGCAAAACAGTACTACCCGAAGTAAAGAGTCCTAAGCTAATATTCCTTTGATAATCTAAAATCGACATAGGTCGATCCCACAACCTACAACAGACCGGAACCCTTCAACAAAGCAAAACGGAGGTTGTATGGATAATTTAGAAAGTCAATTTAGATATGTAATAACAAAGATTGAAAATCTAGTAGTAAATTTTTGAATAGTTAATAGTTAATCTCCTACGATTTTAATATAACATTTGCGTTTGTGATACAAACACATTGACACACCAACGAAAGACTTGGCCAAAAAGCCGTTTTGCTTTGGTCATGCAAAACATATTTTCAAGTGAGTCTCTCCACTATTTGCCTTCCAATCAAACTCAAACACCCAATTGTATGTTTTAATTGTGCAAGTCTTAATTATCTTTTATATGATAGAGAGGTAGTGTGAATTTTCCATTTCATATTAGTAGTTGTTATAACATTTCTATGTTAGAACAGTTCAAAATTATTAAAAAAACTATCTAAAATTTGTAGTGTCTTTCAAGAATTGATGATTTATCCGAATTAGTGAGAGTTTTGATTGTGATTTTAGATATCCAAATTTCTCGAAACAAATTTCATTTCAATATTTTATTCGATATTAATTATCCATCTTGATATTTCATATGGACATGCCTGTTTTTTTTACTAGTGTATATTTAAAACTTATCTAAAGAAAAGGAAAATTGGGGCAGCAAAAGAATTGAACACCTAGTAAACAATACACATCACAGCTCTTCTGAACGACCAACTCAACAAAGCTATTGACCCATGATATATCAATCAACTATAAATAAGAAAAGGAAATATAGCAAATTGTATAGAAAAGAAAGTCAAAATAATGGGTTATTGGAATTTATAAACTTTTCTACAACTCTTAAATATATAGAGCCACAACCATTATAAAAAAATAATCAATTATTCATACTTTTATAACGTTTCGTGCGCAAATATTTGCCTACGAAACACTTAATGGATGCTTATAAATTATGAAGTAAGACTTTGTGGCGTTGTGGAAAATATAAACCTATAGAATTGGGACTGCTTTTTTAATGTAGAATATGGACCGATCTGACTTTTTCAATTTCATTTTAACAGTTTGGTCCTCCTTTCGATTACTCATTTTCCGCACGCCATTAACGATAAAGATTCCCATTATTCTGGATCGTCAATATTATCTTAATCTCAGCCATACTTTCACAGTTTCACTATATAACACCATATTCCGATCCCCAATCATACATCAACACGAGATACCTTAACAAGACGTATTTTAATGCTAAATTAAAAAAATATACATCCTTATCACTTTTTTTTTGTCATCAAATATCACATTTAATGGTTTGTATCATTCATAGTTCGTTATCTTTTTAAATTAGAATACATTTTCATCGGTTAGATGAATTAGATCATCCACCATCTACTATGTATATATTTGGCTAGATGTTTCTTTTTCACTTTTATTTTGTAAGGTTATTTACAACGTACTTCCTATAGGAACAAGATTAGAAATAAGACTTTGCTACGCATTTATCACTAAACAGAAATTCAATAACATGCGAGAAGAGAATTACACCTTTCTTCAAACTTGTTCAAAACGTATATTATAGGTTCCTTGAATTCCTCTCTCGTCTTCAATGATTCATCGTAATATATATATTTAATATACATCACAAAATAGATAGTTGAACAATTTTGTTCAATTATATAATTTTCCGGCTTTCATCAAATGTTATGACTGGTTTATACACGACAGGACAACCGATACGATCATGACAATTGGTTAGATATTTAAATCAAAAATATTATATGAATAACAGAATCGAGAACACGTTGACAAAAAAACATTTCATCCTACAGATATAAAACGTTTGCATTTAAGACACTCTCTCACCATTCTCTTTCTTCCTTTAATTCATATTTATTACTTTTAATTTATGAAACTCATTAAAAATTCACCAATGCTGATGCTCTAAATGGCGGCTACTCTGAAAGACTACGTTTCTTTTGACCTCATTCTCAATTTTTCTTTCGTTAATACGATAATATCATTTCGTTTTTAGTTTATTTATCCAATAATACACATACATATGTTGTCTATGATATGCGAATTTTGAAATTTTGAACATTTGATACTCGGAGGTTATAGTATAATTTGTTTTTTATTATGGGAATATAACCTTGGATTAGAAGTAGTTATAATATATATTGGTCAAATTCGAAAAAAAAAAATACCAGAGTATATATATCCTAAAAACTAATAAATAATTCTTTTCTAATATCTTAACTAGCACTAAAAGAGAAGATGAGAGAATCAGAAAAACTTTAACCCAATAAA